TGTGCTTCAGATTTTTGTTTCCTACTGAAGAACTTTTCATGTTAAATGTTACTCTATTATTTTCTGATATTTCATTTCTGGCTTCTAAGGTATTAGCTAGGCCACTCAGTTTTGTATAATCAGTTAATTTGATAAGCGTTCCTCCACCTCTTCATCCATTACTAATAAAATACTGAAGAGTAGAAACCAAGGCCTGAATTTTGGGATGGCCCACTTGATATCACTCTTAATTTGATTAATGGGCTTTTTTAGTACAATGTTCAAGCCAGCTGAATGTCATACCATTAAGTCTTCATAGGGGTAATCTGACGATCAGAATCATGTGGTATACATTGTCAAATTTCTTGCTCAAGTATTTCCTCTTGGTGACAAAAGAGCTGATTAATGCCTGACAGGTCTTACTACATCCTTGATGGGTTGGGTAGCTTAATGGGAAAAAGTTCAATAGTTCAGAAGTAGCACATATACTTATATGAAAAATATTCCCAGTTCAATTTGGAAATACACAAATTAAATAGAGCTGGGGAAAATCTGCAGCTGAAACCATTGAGAAATACGGTTAATCAATGTAAGACAACTTTCCTCTGTCAATGTTCTCCATTTGATTTGGACCACAGCTGCCATCTTTCCTAACCACAATTCATGTTAAATTAATCTGATGAAAACTGTACTCTTCATTATCTAAGACAAGCCACCTAATTGAGCCAATGGTTGGATTCAATATAAAATAGCCTGTTATGCTGAGCAGAACTAGACATAAGTATCATACCATGGGTTCATCTAATCCAACATCCCAGGTATGATTGACAGAAAGTGTCCAGTTTAAGATCTCACTCAGTCTTGCCTAACATCTTCAGGAAACAATATGTTTCATCCTTGAACTAGAGAACCCAAATATGGAACCTGAAACACTTCCCCCTCCCTAAATGAAAGAAAAACAATTATTGTATCTGATGTCTTCTCCCCCTTTAATTCATACCTGGGGATCAATAGGACAACACTACTTCTTCAACCTCAGCTTTCTTTTCTTCCTTGGAGCCTTTCCTCTGGATAACTTAAGTAGCATTTCCAATCTTGCTTTTATCAGCTGACCTAAAGTGTCTCAATGACACTTTAGAAGGTTTAGAGTGCATATTGATCAGCTTAAACCTAACTCTTGGGAGCAAAAGACACTTGAAACTGATACCAGGATATCAAGTTAAGAGTGGCTTCTTGAGATTAGTAGTGTTAAAAAGGGTCAAAAAAAGCTCTCTCCCTTGCCAGCTGACACATCTTTTTCTTTTTAAATATTAGATCACTTAGATGCAGTACAGTAGTTGCTTCCCCCAGTAAAAGTATCGTGAAAGCAGAAAAAGGTAAGGAGACATTTTAAAGATGAAGCAATAAATAGCACAGAAGGGATCCTAAGGGAATCAGTGTTATATTGTGGAATCCATGCTCACCATATCGACTAGCTATAATCTTTTTATTTAATAATGAATTTTGATGGTTGGGTGGCTATCATTTGAGAAGTAAAATAGGTTCCCCCACCAGAAAAAATATAAGGAGCAGTTAGTACATGTGCTATATGTCTACACATGTGCATGCAGACATATACCTTGTTTCCCCAAAAATAAGACAAGGGTCTTATTTTCTTTTGATCCCCGAAATAAACACTTGGCCTTATTTTTAGGGAGGTCTTATTTTTGAGGTGTAGGAGGCGGCAAGCATGGTCACCTCATGGCTGCTGCTGTGTTGCAATATTTTTGAGGAGGGCTTATTTTTGTGAGAGGGCTTATTTTAGCACATGCGCTCAAAAGCCCGATTGGGCTTATAATCTGGGGATGTCTTATTTTCAGGGAAACAGGGTAGCAATCAGTAAATAAAAAGATGCATATTTTAAAAACCTAAACTGATAATATCTGATAAAGATTTGGAAAAAGGATTCATAAGATGTAGGGAATATTAAATAGTCAACTAAAAGGAAGAGAGATCAAGAGAAGACTCCTTCAGGCCACAAACAGCTGAAAGCAACCTTCCTCAATCAAGACATCTTCAGATATAAATCACTATGCCCATTTTTTGGAGCTAACAAGGCCAATGGATATACTCACACATGTATAGGTCACCAGGTGGATAGCAATTGCCTAAAAGAAGCATCCTGTAATGATATACTACATTATGCTACTAAATACTACAGCATAGAGGTTAGCATCATCCCAAGAGAGTCTGTAAAAGTGTCTAGTTAAATTACTGCAGAGCGTCCATTAACTATTATGCATATTAAACTGTTGTTATAGAAGCTTCTATAACTGCTGCTATTGAAGCTTTTATATAACTTAATACAAAGTGGTGAGAACCTGCACTTTAGAACAGCTCCATTTATTCCTGTTTTACCAGTCATATGACTTTGTAGCTGTCAAAGAGTGATGCTCTCCAGATATTTAAGAATATTTCTTCCCCAACCTCCACTAACTGGGACATTTATTTCATGTTATTATTTAAAATGCTTTAGAGAAGCGGTCACCAACTGTAGACCATTGGTGGTCCACAAGAAAATGTTGGTGGTCTACAGAAAAATTATTTGCATTTTTTATATTGCACTAAATTAGGGATCCTCAAACTATGGCCCCTGGGCCGGAGACATGCAATGAACGTTTGTATTGCAGCAGAGAGTCTCCCCCTTCGAGGTCTTTTGGTGCAGGTCGGAGGGGGACAGAAATTTTGACTTGGGGTCTGTTTCAGCCTCCTGGTGCAGGGCTTTCGGCGAAGGCTGGGAGGAAGCACTGTTGGTGGCGAAGAGCCGGAGGGCCTTGTTCCAGTGGTACTACATCATGCATGAAACTGGCCCAGTTCTAAGTGACACCAAGTTGGCCATACACACCCAGTCACATGACCACCTAGCTATGCCCATCCAGTTGGTCATTAGGCAGATCATATTAGTGGTCCACGGGATTTAAAATTATGAATTTAGTGATCCCTGAGGTCTGAAAGGTTGGTGACCCCTGCTTTAGAGACTTTTCAGTGCTACAACTTCATCAAACAATGTATAAAAAAGAGTAATCTTGGACAATAGGCACAGTCACCAACATAAAGAAAGTTTTGAAAAACAAATTTAAATTTACTAGCCATCCATGAACTTCACTGGAGGAAGTTTTAAACATAAATATTTCTGCAGCACCCTTAACATTTCAACTGAAAGGAACAGATTGCAGAGCCTTTTCAGGAATGGCTGCAACACTGTTTCTTGTCCATATTAATCTAACACATTTTAGTGATTAGCAGTCATAAAGTATCCTCTACACAATTCTGCAAGCATAGGCAAGATTATTAAAAAATTATTATACCTTACAAAAATTCCTGCCTGTAGTCATTTGGAATTGCTTTATTTACATTAGCACTTCTGAACTAGAATCAGTTGGTACGGAAACTTAATTGTTTCCCAATTTTTTGTAAGTTGCCAGCATCAAAAAAGTTGCACTTTGAAGTTACACAGGCACCACCTCTTAAATACTTTGCTATTGTCTAGTTTGTAATTAATGAAGATATTATCCAAGCCATGCTCAATTGTTTCACACAGAGCCACAACTGCTGTTCAAGCTGAAGCTTGCAAAAAAATATTTTCCAGCCACAGCAATTCTTTGTAGTGAGCCTACAAGCATTCAGTCTGATCTTTCCATGGCAATGCAACTCATCCAAGACTGATTTCATACCTTATCCAAATTAGCCAGATTTCCAATTCCCAGAGCTTCCTCTTTAATGTACTAGCAATGTTCATATTTTTTCCCCCATTTTCCTTCTTGGTACTGATCCACAGGATCTCTCGTTTAGGCTGAGAAGCTTTATTTCCATTTCATAAGAAATCTCACACTTCCTATTTATATTCCAGAGTGATTTACTATCGATTTGTAAGAACTATGGAGAACATTGGAGGGGGGGGGGGAATGATGAGAAAAACAGCCAATACCACCTTTTAACAACCAAATATTTTTAAAAAAGACTATGGTAGTAAACATATAAGTTTCTGGTTCCGCCCCGCCCCCTTTCCCCCAGAGTAACTCAGCTAGGGAGACAAGTTTGCTGTAAAGATCTATGGAAACAAGGTTAGTGATTACACAGCCAGCCTACCTATTTTTTTAAGTCCTCAAGACTACTGCATTTACATACATTTAATTCAATCTTTTTACAACAATCCTTTAGGGCAGCATTCTGTAACTTGATTATCCTTCCAACCTAAACAGGTTTGCAACTCCAGGAATCATTCCCTAACCATGGCCAAAGGCAGTACCAGTACAACTGAAGAGGATCTGCTTGAGGACTTGCTGACCTAAGATACTACCTTTAAATAGCCTATAGAGCAAGTAGCAAGAGCTGAGACAGGAACATTGACTTGGTTACAATCCATGGTCCAGGTGAGATTCATGTCCGGTGCCTTCCTATCTCAACTTCAGTCTCTTCCCTAGAAAATGCAGTCGCAACCACTCTGTTCATTTCTCACTTCGGCAGATGGTTTGTGAGCAGAAATCTTGAACAGATCGTTTCGTTTCGTTTCGGGAAATGCTAATGCCCGGTCCAATAGGAAGAGTAAAGAGAACGCAATTCTTAACCGAAAGAGCGACTGGAATGGTTGTCTGAATGAATCCCAGGTCTCGTGTGTGTGTGTGTGTGTGTGTGTGTGTGTGTGCGTGTGCGTGTGCGTGTGCATATGCATACACACACGGTACACCTCACTTTCACGAGCGTGTTAGAGAGCGAGAGGTCCCCCACCCCAGAACGGAAAACCCAAGACTTTTCTCATCAGAACTACAATTTCAAGGCGATCACCTGAAGTCCTCCCCAGGGGAAACGGGGGAATTTTAAAAAAATTATTGGAGAAGCAGTTGCGATTCCCTGCCGCAACCTCAAGGGCAGGTGCTCAGACCAACAGCGTCGGTCCCCGTCTCTCCATCCCGTTCTTCTCCCCGCCCACCTTCCTTCCTTCCCGATGGCATTGCCCCACCGGCTTCTCCCACCCGCCTTACCTTGCAAGGGAAGAGGACCGCCGAGGCCACTTTCTCCATCGCTAAGTTCCTGATGCTGGGGGTCAAGGATCCCCGGCATGTGGGGCAGCAGCTCAGCTTCTGCCGGCATTGGTTGCAAACCAAGTGCCCGGCTTGGCACTGCAGGATCGGGGGCAGCACATAGTCGAAGCACACCGGGCACTCGAAGAGCGAGGTCAGCTCGTGGTGCTGAGGCGACACCGCCCCCCCACTGCTTTCCCCAGCTCCAGGGCTCGAGATCACAGCGGCCGCGGCAGGGACCGCGGAAGAGCCGGCTCCGGCAGCGGAGATGGTGGCGGCCGCGGCGGCGGTGTTGGCGGCGGGAGCAGCAGCCGGCGATGGCGTGTGCTGCTGCTTGCCGCAAGGTTTGTTAGCACTGGGTCCGGCGGAGGACGGGCGGCTCATTTCGGTCGGAACAAACCATCGAACTGCGGACACCGAGCGGATCGCTCACCCAAGCCCCGCAGGGGGCTTAAAAACAACCACCCCCGTCTTCCTGGAGCCGCCGTTCCTCGGAGAACCGGCTCGGGGCCTCCGCCTTGGCGCCGCAGGAAACCGCGAACGTTCCAAAGTGTCTCAACGTTCCAAAAGAGAAGCCTCAACGTTCCACGGCGAGCCAGCTCGGCGTTCCGAGCCAAGTCCTTCGTCCCCCGAGCAGCCCTTTCCGCTCCTCCCCCCGGACAAACCGAGCGTGGTTCCTTCTCGGCTCCCCCCACCCACCCCTCCCCGGAACATTAATCTGACGCAAGGAAGAGACAGGGGGTGGTGTAGTCACAGGCTGCTCCCAAGTCGAGGTTGGCTCCTACTGAGCATGCCCTAAACCTTTGCGAATGGCAGGCGGAGACGGCAGTCGCTACCCTCTTTCGTTCGGTTTTTTTCCCTTTCTCTCTTTCCTCCCGCGGTTTTTCCCCGCGATCCAAACGGCGGCCGAGGAAGTAAGAGAGAAAGGGGGCAGAGGACGGCGGGAGAGGGATCGGTGGGCAGGAGAGCTATTTTCCTCTATTGTTTCAAGCGTAGCGAAGACGGAATTGAGGCTCTCTGACCGCCATCTGCTGGGTGTTTCGCTCACTGCTTTCCCAGCACCCCGACTTTCAAAATAATCCCCTCCTTGTGTTACTTATCCCCCCCCAGAGGCCAAGCGAATTAACTCTTGGCCGTTCCTACCTGTCTGTTGAAAAAGGACAGAAATACCTTTCCGGGAAAGTCTGCGAGGTCTGTCGCTTTCTGGATCAGAAGATTTGTGCCTGACGTAACAGCCATAAGCACCTGATGCAAGCTATCTTGCCATGCTGATGTAACCGGACAATCTTAATTTGCTTCCCCAGAATCAAGAGTGAGGTTAGATACTTTCAGATCAGTCTGGTTGTATTGCTCTTGCACACGTACCAACACCTGTTTTCCATTAGAGGTATACAGTATGTGGTCTTGAAACCACGTCATCCCCAAACAGTCTTTTCTGGATTCCAGATCTGTTTTGATCAAACTGCCCAAGAAATGGACATGGTTTCCTGTTACCTTGAGAGGAGAAAAATAAATGAGAAAATTGATTTATTTTGGAATAATAAAATGATATGATAATGTAATTAATATAACATAACATAACATAATATAATATAATATACAATTAATATAATATAATATACAATTAATATAATA